CCCCCCTCCCTCCCGCACCTACGTCTTCACGCGTTATAAGGTCCGGATCGCAAGGGGTCCGGTGGTCCGGTGTAGAACACCCTTGAATGTCAGCAGTGAGATTATAGAGTGCTCACCAGAGAGTGAGCATTCGCGTGAACACACACCGCGCGCGCCTGCGAGCTCCAGACTCATTCCGAAGAGCGCTCAAGGGGGGCTGCCCTATGAGTGCGACAAGGACGGAGCTATACGGAAGGTATAGGGGAGCGCTCTCTGCGCTCACTCACCGGTGGGCTCTCTAATCTCGCTGTTTTGCAGCACAACCTCCCTATCTTTCAGGTGGCTCACCAGCGAGACGACTGGAGGTGATTGCCCCCCCCCCCCCCCCGTGCCCGAGAGCCGTCAGCCGTCAGCCCTTATCCTAATTGCCGCGGCCCGCCGGGTGTCAGGCGGGAGGGCCCTAAAGGGCCTACAGCCTACAGGGCCCGCCCGTCCCCGCCCTGTCCCAGACCTAGGCCGTGCCCGAGGACTGACAGCAGGGCGAGGCTCCGGAGTGCCCCGCTCGGGCGGTCCTTGAGGTCGTCCTTTGGCGGCGGACGGAGCTGGAGCTGAGCTGACTGGGTGGGCGCGGGCGGGCCTTGCGCCCTGCCGCTCCCCACTGGACCTTGACCAGTCCAGCCCAGTCCAGGGGGACAGAGCGGGGACAGGCTCTCTCGGCGCTCTCTCCGCCGCCGCACGCACGCGTTACATTTGTTTTGCACCTCTTCCGAGTCGGCCTTGGATATGCGCAGCGCCCCGCCCCGCCCGGCTCGGTCGCCGCGCGCCCGTCGTGGAGGTCCTTGGTGTCCCAGGCGCGCCCCGCCCCGCGCCCGCCTCCTCCGGTGTGTTCCGGTCTGAGGAAAAAGGGTTAATGACCCGTTGGGAACACAATGCGGTGGGTAAAGGTGGGGGAGGGGTGTGTGTCCCCGTGCTGTCATCCGCCATGGCCGTGCTCTTGCCTCTGCCGCCGCCCCGCATCGCGACCCAAAACCAAAGACGCGCGCGGAGCCGCGTGCAGCTGGGCCCCCGCCGGCCCTATGGGCCCGGCCGGTCCACCAGAAAACCCGTTACTCCTCCCGCTTTCGACGTGGGCCTCCTGGGCGTGCCTGCGGCAGGCACACGTCCACGAAAACGGGGGGGACTTGGTCAGATCTCCGCCCCAGGTGTCCCGCGCCGAGCCCTCCGGGGCGGGGCCGTACGGCGAGGACATCCATTGATCGTTGTCGGAGATGTCGTGCCTTGTCTCCCCGACACAAAAACAAGAATGAACCGATGAGAAGGGGAGCCCCCCCCCCCCCCACGGCCCCTTCTCCCTTTCCTCGCCCGCCGCTTTGCTCCCTGTGACCCGATGGGGGAAGGAAGGAATCTCGGCCAGCGCTTCGGAAGGCTTCAGAACGACTACTCGTCATGCGACTGCGACCCCAGCCGCGCGCCCGGCCCAGGCTCGGTCGCGGTTCGTTGGGCGTGGCACAATCGTGAGGCGTTAACCCGTTTGTGATAACTCCGGCCGGGAGGGAGCGCCGCGGGTGGCCGAAAATTAAGGGGAATAAAGCGCGAAGGCGAATTAGCCAAGCGAACGCGCAGTGTCGTCAGGAGAACCGAGAACCACTCACCGCACAGCACGGCCGCACGCACTTCCCCCTGCTCACTATATGCGCCAAGGAGTGGGGAGTGAGAGGAAGGGGGCGGGAGGGAGTGTTTACGTCCTCGATGAGAGCTGTTCAATGAAGTGGCTGTGACGTTTCGCACGAAACGTTAACGCAAGCACCGGGAGGAAGGTGTTTGTTTGGCGGATCTAATTTTAGTGAGGAGCCGAAGTGTTTGAGAGTGCGTTTGCGTGGCTTGGCGCGGCGTTAAATGCATTGGGGGGGGGGGGGGCACTTCGGGTGCTGGCTGATGGTCCCTCGAGCCGTGCTGCTGGTCGGAGCGGATGCCCTCTCCGGCCTCCGAGACGAGGATCAGGACCTCCCGCCCCGCACATGCTGCCCTGCCACTCCTCCATCCACTCGCTGACAGCTGCCGGGCCGGTTTAGCGCGCCGCGCTCCCTTTGAGATCTCAGTCGAAATATCTAATTAAGCTCTCGCCGTGATTCAACCCCTTCGTCACTTCCTTCCCGTCGCCCCGCCCCGCCCCTCCGCCGCCGAGGAAGCTCTTCCGGTGTGGCGGTCTCCCGCTCGCTCCCTCTCTCGACAAGGGTCCCCATCACTTCTTTTATTTTAAAACAACACCCTTCCTAGCACGGGCGGCCCGGTTGCCACGCTGCTTCCCCTGTTTGGCTGCCGAACCAAAGCAACCCCGCTGCTTCTTGCAACCTTCGACGTGTTACCCCCCAAAACACTCCGTATTTCTTACCCCTTTCTCCATAATCTTGTGTCTTATTGAATTGATTTCTGTTGAGGAGGCCTGGGAGCCGGCGGTACAGGTGGCTGATTAACCCCGCTCACTTTTGTAGTTATGCTGTACCGCACGCACTAGTGCGGGCGGGTTGCCTACTCGATCGGCTCGTAAGGCGCCGTGGACATGGGCGATAGGCAAGCCCGCCCGCACTCGCGCGTGCGGTACTGCATAACTGCAGAAGTGAGCGGGGTTAATCAGCCACCTGGTATGTTTATTAAGAAGACCGTTTTTGAAGCGCCCTTGCTAGGGCAATTGGCAGGTGTGTAATTTTTATCCGAGGTGTGATTACGTCACCGCCCCCGGCCCCGCCCCCGGCCGCGCCACGCACGTGCGATGTATCCGGGGGCGGTGCACTTTATCCTGCCACCCGCCCGCGGCCGGGGCTCAAGTGTCGCCGGGGGCGGGGTGGGGGCGGGGCACCGGCGGCAGCCCTACGTATCTCGAGCAGGAAGCGATGACTTTTCGTCGACTCGAGCTTGAGCCTGCGATGAGGTTCCTTCCGCCCCACCCCCCTTCCCCTTCGGCCCCGGTCGCCCGGGACACGGTGATATCCTAGGATTGCCGCCCCGCTCGCGAGCGCATAGGCAACGCGCCCGCACGCCCGCATGCGGGTCGCCTACCCTGCACGAATGCGCGCACTGCCACTCCACTCTGTAATATGGCTTCAGAATACGATTTATTCCGTCTGGCAAAATCCCCTACCGGCCCCATTATGAACCTCGGCGCTGCGCCGCTCGCCCTGCCCGTCTTCAGCTTGTAACTCGAGTTTCTTTGCGCTTCCTCGCGCAAACAAACCCCGCGCAGGAGTTCCTTTGTTTGTCGGTCAATCGCGTCCGCCTCCGCAGCCGGCCGGGCCTTCCCCCCCTCCCCCAACTCCTAGCCCGCCGCCATCACCTGGCGAGGGTCGTGTGTGCAGAAGTGGCAACAAAAACCCCAAACTTTCTATGCTGCCCCCCTTCGGGTGTGTGGTGTGAGCAAGTGGATGATAAAGGGAAAAGAAGGGAAAGGGGGGGGGGGGGGTCTGCTGGCACGAGCCCCACTGCCGGTTCATCCGCGTGCGTTGATGGACAAAACGTGGTCGGGCTTTGCCGCTTTGCCGGTGCGGCTGGCGCTCGGCACGCGTATTGTTTAATAACGAGCCCGCCTCTGCTTCCTGCAGGAGCAACTGCCACCCCAGCATTTTGGCGGGCATGCGGAGGGAGTACGCCAGGCCGCAGTTCCTGCCCCTGGACGCCGAGCACGCCCACCACGACTTCATCTTCATGGGGTACTCCCAGGGCGCCGCCATGCACGTGAGTGATCTGGACCTTTCTGTGGTACTTCCCCTCTCGGGGACGAGGGGCGAGTTGACGTCGGACAGGTTGCCGCTACCCACCTGCCGGCGGTCTCTGCTCCTCCTCACCTTTAATGCACACTTCAATTAATTATCGTAATAATAACTTTTCAGCTGGATTACATCAGTCGACTGATGTGGCAAGCCCAGTTGAAGGGTCACAAAACCTGGATGTTGACTCCCCCTCCTGAGTGTGAGCATGTATGCTCTTCATTTTCTTTCCGCGCTGCTCCCGGGGATGTCGGTAAGGGCTCGCTATCCTTTCTTTTGAAAGTAGGGCCTCCTGGGTTTGTACTCCATCTCTGTTTTTTGTTCCAGTGCTTTTGGACACCCGCCAGTGGTACCATAAGACTCAAATCGATGAGAAGGAATTTAGTCTTACAGTTAGCTCAGAGTATGGTTAGTCAACTTTACTCTGGCTAAAAAAAAATAAATGAGTATTTCTTGTCAAATGTAAGTTACCGTAGTTAATAACAGTATTCTTTTACATGTGTAGACTTAAAACATTTTAAGCATTGTTGCTACTTTCAGAATCAAAATGTGACTCTGATTTTGTTTCATCTCCCATCAATGTACTTATTTTTTTGTGATATTTTATAATGTTATCAACATTATTTTACTAGAGTTGAACTCCTTATGTGGATGTATTTGTGCCATAGATTTCTCAATAAAACATTTGAAATGTCTAAGAAAACATTTATTTAGTGATCTGATAGGACAGGGGAGTGAAATTCATGCAGAAATGTAATTTTCAGTTTATTCCTTTATTGCCTTAATAATACAGTAATATTCATATGGAATCTGAGCAAATTCAACGCTACTTTTCACATGGTCTTATAATGGGGGCTACGTACCCTCGATCGAGATGAGTAGCAGATCTTCAAGCGTGTGGTATGTTCTGGTGGAGGCTTTCTGCTCACTACCAAATTTATGAAAGTCTACGACTGTGCGCCAGAGAACACTGTAGATCACATTCCTCTCTTCTTGCTTGAACTTGACACATGAGTTGTTTGGTAACTTCCCAGGATTTCTTAGTCTTCTTAAATAAACCAAATGTTTGTGTTAATGTCTTGATGTCAGCCTCTTCTTGCTGGTGTTCTGCCAGATGTAGCGCCGCAAAGAGACACTAATAATGTGAAAAGATTCAATACTCTTTAGATGAAAAACATAAACATACGCGCAAGATGCAAAACTTGCAAGTATTAACATTTCCATTTAAAGAGTAAAATGATCAGTGGTTCTCCCTATGCGATTCTGGTTAGTTCCGGTTACCACTCAACATTTCAACAAACTAGGTATCAATTAATGAAGACAGATAGTTTTGGGCTTCAGCTGACCATAAGAGAGCAAAATATAGGAAGAAGGCTGCTTTTGATATTACATGAAGACAATGCTTCATAATTTTATCTCCTCCCATACTTAAATTTAACAGTACTTATGTGTAATAAAAGGCACAGATCACTATCCTACTGCCGCACACAAACTTCTACAGTATTGATCTACTTTGCATACACTTGTTGTTACTGTATGCCTGTTAAAGCTTGTAGGATAGCACCTACTGCCTGTGGCTCTACAGTTTAGAGAAGTTTAGGTAGCTTTCACCTTAAGATAACTCCACAAACGCAAGTGTAACAGGTCACATTTGTTGGTAAGTAACAAGCAAAGACAAATGCAAACAAATGCTTTGACATTTTGTTAACCAAAACTGTTTGACCGTTACACAATTGAGTTTATGGATAAGGTACAATAGTATCACAGAAAGTAAATTGTAATGGGAAGAGAAAAAAAACTCTAAAGACTAAATTAGCAATGAGTAGCTGCACCAGAACCAACGGCGTAAGGGCACTTTAATGCTGTCAGCAGAACCCAACCAGTTTTTGATTTAAGATGCCAATACACCATGCTTATGCTGTACTTAGATGTTAAAAATTACATCCATGTATAAAGGGAGTTATCGGGCTTAAGATCTTAAGAGCGGTAATCCTAAGACTTAATTTGCTTCTTGAATTCAAAGAACTCAATTACTTCAATGAATCAACTGATCTAGATGCTAAGCAAAGCAAGATAGATAGAAAATAAAAGGACTTTGCAGGAAAGGAAAATTAGTATTGAAGGAAAGGGGTACAAGAAGATAAAACAAAATGCAGCTTACCTAGCAGAATCCTTTGATGATCTTCCCTGGAACGTATGGTCTATGATGAACTGTAACATAGAGGGTATAGGTAACACATTTGTTAGAGAAGAAAAATATACAATCCTAGTTTTAAAAGTCTGTGGGATCTGCAGGTATTATTCCACCCCTGCTGGAGAGAATTTTAATAAACACAAAATTGCAAGAAACCCTAGCAACTCAACAAAAAGACCATTGATTAACCTGTTTCAGCACCACTGCCACAAAAAAAGAAGAAAGCATTATTCTAATAAATATCAATGAGCCAATAAGGTCAAACATATGGTCAAATATTAATATTACTCACCACATGTACACGAAAGATCCATGAGAGTGATGCACAGCGTCCCTTCTGTTGCTGTCAGCTTAAAAGAAAATGTTGAGAAGAGGAAGAAAAAACTGAGAAACTCTATGGGCAAAATTGTGACTATTGGAAAGCATTGCATGAATTGCTTTGAAAGAAAATAATAACATGTATCACATGAAATGGTCATTATAAACAACATTATGGGTGGTCTAATAATAATAATAAAATATTAGAATGACATTATGGATAATTTTTTGATACCCCAAAAACTCTGGCAAGTAAAAACCTCCATTGTATATTACCAATGGATTAAGAAAATAAAATCAACACAATTTGACCACCAATGTGCAGTAGAATTAGCAAAGAAACATAGGTATTTAAAAATCCTAACAATTTTGAGATAACATAGGTATTCAAATTTTTGAAATAAATCTTAGCGTATTGCTTGTAGAAGGCACTGACAGCAGGAGTCGGTTCCTGCACGTGGAGATCAGGACCCTGACTAGAGGAAGAACAAATATTAAGCATTCTAGCTCTAAGTACACTACAAGGTAACAAAAATATTCCTTTCTTCTTTGTATAGATGCTAAATGATATAACAAGAACAAAGGGACTCATGCCCTGTATACCTAAGCCTAATTCATTTGTCTTTTTTATTTTGGTCAAATGAAGAAGTTACAAATTAAGGTACCAAATACAGATCAAAATGCTGATCAAAAATCATGAAAAAAATTAATGAAGGAAAAACTTAACATAGAAAACCATCAGGTACTCTCACAGAGAATCACAGCCAAACTTAAACATGGCTATGCAGGAATACCAATTTTGGCACTTTCGGCAGCACTAGGGTAACACTATACGAGAGCAATTCATTATATTTTAACAAATAATAACAAACTAGTATAAAAAAATAAGAGGGACCTCAACTCAAGGAGGTATAACTGTAATTTTCCTGAGAAAGTAGTCGGACTAGACACTTCACAAGAAAGTTGAATAAATAATATACCACATGACAAGCAAAATACATGCCCAACCCAACGATTTTTTACCTTTCCTTTTTCTTTGAACCACTTACAACTACATATGAAATCACTTTTTTTTTCTCATTGATGCTGATGCTTGTACAGGCACTCCAAGTCCTGACATTTTCCATTGAGATCATAGGGACAAAGAATGGCATATAAGTCTCCCTCTTTTGTTGTTTCTTTTTTAGTGCCGCTGAAAAGAAAGAGGTGAAAAGGAATTAGATAAAAAAACAAGCATGCTTTGCTACTGAATTAGAATTCAGAGTTTACCTGAAAACACTTAGACCACCCAAAGGAGATATATAGTTCTTCAGGACATTTTTGGAAGCTGTCTGTGCACTGGATATTATTTGATTTTGTGGTACATGTTTTGCCATGACTTGAGGAATAATGTGTTTGTCAGATAAGGATTCTCCACTGGTAGTTTTAGTTTCATCAAGTGCTGTCACAACTTTCATGTCTGAATCAATTTCATGAAATGAATAAGGTTCTGAAGATTCCCTTTCAGTAACTGGAGGGCTCAGGCTAGTGTCAGGACTCACTGACATGTCAATTACATCTGTATTACCACATATTTCTTTGCTCTTTTTTCCAGGCTCTTCACCGTCAGTTGAAATGTCCATGTCAGAATCGCCTTTAAATTGCAAGTCTTGATTTGCTACTCTTGAGCTGAAACCAAGCTGTTTCAATGATTTCTTTCCTTTTTTCTCTAAAAGACGTTTCTTCCCAGCACAATTCAGCACTGATTTTGCAGATCTAACTTTATTAAGAGCCAGACGACAACTCACAGCTCTTGACGTAATTGCAGAATTGAGTTGAGGCAAAGAATTTGTTGTTGTGGGACTGATCTCACTTGAAACGGCAGGTGGAGTTTCTGACTTTGAAACCATTGATGTTCCTTCAGTTTTACTAGACTCAATTTTGTTTTTGCTGGATAACACTAAAATTGACTGAGTTGGAGCATTTAATTTTCCCTGTTTGCAGATTTTTGTAGGAGATGAAGGCACAGATGAAGGTCCACTAGTTTTTACAACACCTTTATCCACCAATGAATTTTGTGAGTCTGAGAAAAGTTTGATGAGGCAACTCTCAGCCCGCTTTTCTAATGTGTGCTTTTTAGCCTGCTCTGTTGTTCTTCTTGTTGCAAGTTCTTGAGTTTTTTCATGAACTTGCTTAAGCTGAAGACGCATGGAGTCAGCTTTGTCCAAGGGAATCCTGTATGGTTAAATATATTACAAAAATGCTGTAAATGTTGACATTTTTTTTGTTTTTGATTAAAGAGTGATAGTAATAAAATTTTACCTGTAACTATCTCCATACAGCTGGTTTCCCAGTTGAGCACAGGTCTTGGATGCTTCAACACAAGAACGATGCCTTGTAGACAACACTCTCTGACGTTGAGCTACTTTTTGCACTAAAGAGGCAACAGTGCAGTTCTGGGCTTTCCAGCGCCCCGCTGCTAAGCACAGCTGATCAATAAGACTGGAAACTTCTGTTGCAGTGTGGGATTGAGCTTCCAAAGATTTATCTACTTGAGCAAGCAGTTTTGCTAGAGAGGATAGTTCCTTTAACACATGTGACCTGCAACAAACAAACTGGATTGAACACAATGAAACAAAAACAGATAAGCACAACTTGAAAATAAATACCTTTCTGTTACTAGAGTTGACTGAAGACTAAAAAGGCCTTCTTTGTTTCTGGGTACTTCAGCAGCCACAAAGTTATTAGGTTTTAACTGAGAGGGTGGCAAACATCCTTTGATATCACTTTTAGCATTGGTATCAATGGCACCTTTTGAGCTCAATCCATTTACTGAAGCTGTACTGCTTTTTTGAGCCAAGTTATTAATATTATTTAATTTGACAATTTTGGATGTCAGGGGGGCAGGGGCAGTTACTGCTTGCTTTTGAGTTACAGTCGAGGTACTGATGATGGGTACTTTAGAAATCTTTGCCTTAACATGAGTGTCACTCTTTAACAAATCTGTTTTAGCACTAGAAGCAGCTAACGGGACATTTGATGATTTAGAGGAAGGCAAAGCTGTGACTTTTGGAGTAACAGTGGCTTGTTTAGAACTATTAAGGCTGGAGGCTACTTTAACTTGAGTGCCTTTGGAGACACTCACTAAGGTCTGCTTTTGCTGCCTTGTGGAGATTTCACGCTGCTTTTCCAACTGAGCAATTTGTTGCTTGAGGCGCCGATATTCCTCTTGCTGTGACACTGGCAAGTGCTTCACGGCCTGTAATGAATGGAAAAATGGAGTAAGACAAAAATGAGTAATTGATGTGCACAGTACCTTTTTTATGCAAACCAAAGTAAACTTACCACAGGAGTACTAGTAGAGGTTGATGATAAATTACCAGCTCTGGATTCATGTGAATTGCGGACGCCCTTTAAAAACCGCTCTACACTATTTTCTAGATCTGCCAAATTTTCTGCAAAAGGCTTCTTGGGATTTCTCTCCTTCACGGCTTGTTTTGTATTTAGATTACTTTTCAGAGGCACCTTAGCCCCAGAGATGGGCAGGCCCTTAATGCTAGGGTTGACTTCCAATTCTTTCAGATGCAAAATCCACTTTTCTTTGTTTTTGGCACACTTTCGTCCTAAAGCTTCAGCCTCAGAATAGTCTTCATTGCTATCAGAATCTTCACCCAAATGAATAATGAATCTTTTTTCCTCCGACATTTGAGATGAAATCCCAGTGTGGTGAGGTTTTGCCTTAGATTGTTCTGGCAGAAGATGGGATGGTTTTAATTTAGTTGGTTCTATCAATTTCTGACTAGGTTTTGATTTAATTGGTACTACTAATTTTTGAGTAGATTTTGGTTTCAATGGTTCTACCAATTTTGGAGTAGATTTTAGTTTTGATGGGTCTAACAAATTAAGATTAGATTTTGGTTTAGATTGTTCTACCAATGAGAGAGGTTTCTTTTGAGCAGCTTCGACCAGTAGTGGCCGACATGGTTCTGATGCAGAGTTAGCTGGTTTCTTAACAGATTTATCTGGGTTAACATTCTTTCTAGGGTGAAGTAGAATTAAATTACTCCTATTTGGAACAGCATCTGGTAGCACATTCTTCTTACTTGGTGGAGCTTCCACAGTTTTAGCCTGCTTAGCTTCCATCATTTTGGCTCTCTTGTTGGCCAAATTAAAAAGCAACCGTTGTCGAAGCATTTTTTCCTCTTCTTCTAAAGGAGTTTCTTTGCTTTGTTCAGCGTATGATGGTACAGTTTGGGAATTTTCTTCATAGCTTTCCACTGTCTTCAATTGTTTTTCAGGTTTGGATTGCTTATCACAACTCGATGCTGGAAGATCATTCAACACTCTTTCCTCCTTTTCCTCAAGAACTGGAACAATTTCTTTCAGTTCAGTATTACCAGAGCAGTTTGATTGGGACTCAAACTTTTCCTCCTCATTAGCCACAAGTAACTCAGCAGTGAGATTTTCAGCTTGAGAGCTACTTTCTTGTACTAATGGTGCCTCTGCCTCTAAATGTTTCACCACTGGATCAGAGTGCAATAATAATGGGGAAACTTCCTCACAAACTAAAATTGGCATATCTTTCTGCATATCAGTTGGGCTACCTTCAGATTGGTCAAGCGTATGAGGTTGGTAGAAAGGATCTACAAGACAAACATTTCCTGGTTGATCCAATTGCGTTGAATGAGGAGGTAGTAAGGTGGATGAGTCTTCAGACATACCTGACAAAAGTTCTCTGAAATAAGCTGGCAATGGAGGAGCCGACATCTCAGTACTAGGAATATGGTCCATATAACACCCAGCATAATTGTTATCAATACTGATGCCTTGCAAAGGAGTCTCATAAGTTGGGTCAGGAAAATAGAGGTCAAAGTCTGGAGGAGGAGGAGGGGGAAGAAGTTCTTGCAGAGATCGCTCAAGGATAGGGGATCCCGTTGGATCAGACGGTGAATAGCAGTCAGGGTATGGATCATCAGAAGGAGAATAGCAATCTGGAATAGGATCAGAGGGGGAATAGTGGGACATGGAATGTAGAGAGGTCTCATCCTCATCATCAGTTTCAGCAAGTTCCATGTCTACTGGAGTAATAACTTCATCTGGCGAAGCTGGTGAAAAGGGCAAAGGAATGTCCTCAAGCGGAAAAAGGGGATCTTCCTTACTTGTTCTACTAGTAACTGGTAGTTTTTTACGAGTTTTGAATTTCTTCATAAAGGCAGTTTTTAAGGCAGCTAACCGTAACTCTAATACATCCCCATCATCAGGAGGGGGAGTTGGTTCCTGTTGTTCCTGTTTCCTGTCATGACATTTAAATAAATTAGTAGAGTCTTGACATGCATAGCAATAACCGTACTTGCAAAGAAAAAATAACTTACTTAGATTGAAGAGCTAGAAGACGAAGGTGTCCAATATCATCATCATTGTCATCAGAGTTATTGCGTAACAAACTATCAGGATTTATGTCGAAAGCAGCATTTGATTTCTCGGTCGGACGCTCGCAACCTGGCACCGTTGTATCTAGGGGTGTATGAGCCCGTGCACTGATGGCTCCATCTTCACTATCTGTCAGTGTTACTACTTCAGGATCTGGTTTTATGACAGGAGTTATTTCTTCAATTATTTCATCAGTTTGAGTACTTTCACTAAGCAACTGCTTACATGAATCTTCAGGTTTTGATGAATTGACAGAACTACTTCTACTTTCATTACCCACATCACCAGAACTTTGAACACTTTCATTCTTTGAGGGCATTTCATCATGTAGAGCTGGCATAGCTCCCATATTAAAAAGTCTTTGCCTCAAACTACTAGATTCTGAATGATTTTCAGATGATTCCAAGGCTATTAGCCTTGTTTCTTTGGCAACAGAATGTAGGACTTTGATCAAAGGACATTTGGTTGAATGATGGGATTGGCGTGACCGACGTTTTGCAGGAATGTAAGAAGACTCTGGACTAGAGCTGGCTCGCCTCTTCGCTCTATCATGCCTATGTCTCCGAAGCGGCCTGTGATGAGAATTTCTATCTGAAGATCGCTCTTCACTGTCAATACTACTACAGCTAGAATCTCGAGTGGGAGACTTGTCCTTGAAGTCTGCAAGGGTCCTGTCATGACTTCCTTTTCGATGAACTGGAGACTTGTGGCGAACATGGCGGTTTTCTTTGCCTTGGGTCAATCCTGAATTAATATAATACGGCATGATTTAGTGGTTCAAGAATAGAAGGGCTCATGGGGATAAAATATAAGGAATACAAACCTGATCTACATTGTTTAGTTTTAGTGCGAGTATAACTATCAGTTCCATGGAGGGAGGGGCTTATAATATACGGACTTTTGGATCCGCCGGACGGTCTTCTTAATCTCGTTGTGCGAGCTCTACGGAGCTCGAAATTTCTTATGTCTCGCTCATAACTTTCTTTTCTGCTAGGGGCGGGATAAACATCGAGACTTGCGCTCGTTGTACTGCTGTGTTGAGGACTACTACCTTCTACCAAAATTATGTCATCTTCGTCATCTTCAATTTCACCTTCTTCAGGCCCTTCATCGTCCTCAGCAACTTGCACTACGGGTAGAGACATTGCACCATAACTTTCTACCAATTTCAGTAACCTTAAAAATTCACCTTAACAATAAATCTTGTATGCAATCTGCAATCACACATGTTAAGTGACCATTAATCAGCACTCTTTTGTTTGTTGCTCTTTGACTTGGCTGCTAACTTCTTCCCCTCTTTTCAGCCAGTGTCCTTACAAAATGGTCGATGTTTTGATTGGATTGCCAGTAAGTTTTGAACTTGCCCAAAAGAAAACAATGCTCTTGTCAGTTGAACATCTTAAATGCTTTTTCCTGCAAAATAAATGTCTTAGAGCTTCTTTCATCATATTTTAGTAACGGCACATTGGTCGAAACTGACCACCGGACACCGGACGACGTGGACGATTTCTGAAACAACTCGCAGTTGAGCAAATGATCACGTGACTCTCGGATCTTCTTCACTTTTAGTCACAGTCCCCACCCCTCTACAGTCGGCCATGATGTTGAGTGCGGTTTCTCGAGCTACTGCTGGAGCTCTTAGGGTGGTAAAACCCGCCCTAAACCCTCAGCTTGTCCAAAATGAGGTCGCCAAAGTCGTTGGGGCTGTGGCTGTCAACCGTAAGTAAAAAATTTCGCCCTGTAACTTATTCCTTGAGCTCCAGAACCGTATGCTCTTGAAGTGCCCCCTGGCACCCGTGCCCTGGAACCTTGCCGTGCACCGGGCGAAAGGATTGATGTCCTTTCCTCAATCAATGGCACATTCCGGTGCAAATTTTGTCGTTTTCTTACTCAATTTTACCGCCTTTCCGGTTCTAGTACGATAATGTATCGTGGTAGTTTGTAAATCTGTCCTGCCTCTCAGACGACGGCACTTGTTCTCTGACCGTTTCGTGAAGGGCTTCTGCTAGACCTAGGCCTAGTCAAGGTAATGAAGTTCACAACCACGTATTTATCTACCTGTTTCGGAGTTTTTAACCCATCAAAGAACCAATCATCCTTGAATTTTCGATTGAACTGTCAGTTGAAGACATTCTTGGTTACTTGAAATTTATTCCATCGGGTTTCTCTATCGAGAGGTCACAGGGGTTCGCGCCCGGGAGAGCTTGCGGCCCGTTTGATCTTGGTTAGATGCCGAGAATGTAGTCAATGTGACTCTCAGTGATTTGTCAGCATTTGGTTGGTTTTTCTGTATTTTAGTACTGAAAACTTGATCCTGTGGATTTTCTTAGTGTTCCATCAGTTATAGAATCCTCTTGAAATGTAACAACCTTACCTTTAATAAAGCTGCACTACACATGGTTTAACACCCATCTTCTTCTGCTAATGTCTTTTGAAGAAATTGAGTTTACCATTCATTTGATTGGCTTGAGCCCTTTTAAGGTCATTCATTCATTTTTTGTAATTGGGTTAGTCTAACTTATCGCTTACTTTTGGCTTTCTATTGATGAACATTCTTTGTTTGTTAATGTAGAGAAAACCAACTATGCCACCGCTGCCGCTGCCAAGGGCAAGGTTGCTAAGGGCAAGGTTGTGGCAGTCATCGGTGCCGTTGTAGACGTGCAGTTCGATGAAGAGCTGCCCTCCATTCTCAATGCCCTTGAGGTTCAGAACAGATCACCCAGGCTGGTTCTGGAGGTAGCCCAACATCTTGGTAAGTAGCTGGAGGAATGAACGTGCCCTTCTTACAGGATTTATTTCAATGCCATATTAATTACTTATGTGGTGTCATAGGTGAGAATGTAGTCCGTACCATTGCTATGGATGGTACAGAGGGTTTGGTGCGTGGACAGGAAGTGCTGGACTCCGGCAACCCTATCATGATCCCTGTTGGCGCTGAGTGCTTAGGCAGAATCATCAATGTCATTGGTATGTATGAACTTCCTGGCTTGCTTCCTGGCCTGGTATTTAAACATTTGTCCTTATCTGAATTTCTAACCTTTTTACTCATCTGATTCAGGTGAGCCCATCGATGAGCGTGGCCCTGTTGGATCCAAACACTTTGCTGCCATCCATGCTGAGGCTCCTGAGTTTGTTGACATGAGTGTAGAACAGGAAATTCTTGTTACTGGTATCAAAGTTGTAGATCTTCTTGCTCCTTATGCCAAGGGTGGAAAGATTGGTATGTACTCTGAACTAAGTGTAGTTTTCACCCTAAGAGATTAAATCTAAAAGAATTGAATTATTAGGTCTCTTCGGTGGTGCTGGTGTCGGCAAGACTGTATTGATTATGGAACTTATTAACAACATTGCCAAGGCTCACGGTGGTTACTCAGTGTTTGCTGGTGTGGGTGAGCGTACCCGTGAGGGTAATGACTTGTACCATGAAATGATTGAAACTGGTGTCATCTCCCTCAAGGACAAGTCCTCCAAGGTAATGTTCAAATTTCGAACTTTTACAGAAATTTTTAGACACTGAGAACATCTTGGGCTAATTTGTTGGTCTTGCAGGTCGCACTTGTGTACGGTCAGATGAACGAGCCCCCAGGCGCCCGTGCCCGTGTTGCTTTGACTGGTCTTACTGTTGCTGAGTACTTCCGTGATCAGGAGGGCCAGGATGTGCTTCTGTTCATTGACAACATCTTCAGATTCACTCAGGCCGGTTCTGAGGTATCTGCCCTCCTGGGTCGTATCCCCTCTGCCGTAGGTTACCAGCCTACCCTTGCCACTGACATGGGTAGCATGCAGGAAAGAATTACCACCACCAAGAAGGGTTCCATCACTTCAGTACAGGTATATTCTTTACTTTCTGCTGTTGGTCATCAAGGTGTTTCAAATTTTTGTAATCAATCAATTTTCTTTAAGGCTATCTATGTGCCTGCTGATGACTTGACTGATCCCGCCCCTGCCACCACCTTCGCTCACTTGGACGCCACCACTGTCTTGTCCCGTGCCATCGCCGAGCTGGGTATCTACCCTGCTGTGGACCCTCTTGATTCTACCTCTCGTATTATGGACCCCAACGTCATTGGTGCTGAGCATTACAACGTTGCTCGTGGTGTGCAGAAGATCCTCCAGGTATGCCTTGTTCCAATTCCTCAGACTTAAGCATTATTGCTCAGTACTAATTTTTTCTTCCCCTTTAGGATTACAAGTCCCTCCAGGATATCATTGCTATTTTGGGTATGGATGAATTGTCTGAGGAAGATAAGCTGACTGTTGCCCGTGCCCGTAAGATCCAGAGGTTCCTGTCCCAGCCTTTCCAAGTGGCTGAGGTCTTCACTGGTCATGCTGGCAAACTTGTGCCCCTCACAGAGACCATTAAGGTATTTACAAAAAATAAAAGCAATCTATTGTGGAACGTGTATTAAGCATACATCTGGAACTAACACTTTTTTCTGACTTGCAGGGCTTCCAGCAGATCCTTGGTGGTCAGTGGGATCACTTACCTGAGGTAGCCTTCTACATGGTTGGTCCTATTGAGGAGGTTGCTGAGAAGGCAGAGAGGTTGGCAGCTGAAGCTAAATAAATGCTCCTGTGATGTATTAATTAAATGAACATTTCCTGTGCACTAGCGGCTATGTATCGCTGACCTAGTATGGCTGGTAATAGTAGACCTGTTCAGATGGGCCTGAGCCTTTCCGCTAAAATTTTACACTTCTTGATCAACAGTACAAAAAAATATTTTGTTGGTCATTTTTAATGATCCAGTGGTTGCAGGACATGGTGCAGCCATTCCAACATGTTGTGGAGGTATGGTGTGACCCATTATAATAATGGGGTAAACATGATTCTCACTGCTCCAACATACCTCTTGTAAATAAGTGACTATTTGTAATGAATGAATAAAACCTCCACAAATCTTACTTTCTAACTGGTTTTTGATCCTCAACTACAACTGCTCCTCTTGCTCAATCCAAACTGCTGGGCATTTCTCAGAAGAAAAAAATTCTAATAGTTATAGCAAACTTTATTGCAAAAAAAGTGGAATAATTTCAAAAGCAAATCTGAATCTTCAAATTTAATAGTGATCAGAAAACCTTAAATTGACAATGGAATGGTAGTGATGGAAAGACAGTAAAGCTATTTCTTCTTCTTCGACTTGGGTGATTGTGTTTCAGCTCCATCTTCTCTCGGTGAAGGTCGTGGTTTCTGCCAGTTCAGTGGCTTCCTTCTGTACATAGGCCAGGGTGGTATGGTTAACTGGAAAGACAAATTAAGCATGAGTAACACTTGAGCATTGCATACATGTTGCCCACAAAAAGGACAATGAATAAATCAACTGGGCTCTGCTTACAATTGATGCAAGTAGAAATCCTGCTCCTAACACATAGACAGTTGCGGAAAACTGTTGGATGTAGTATCCCCAAACAAGTCCAACAACCTAGAGATTAAGATATTAAGATAAAGGCAGGTGTATTTCAAATACAAGGGTTTTTCAGTGACATACAGCCAAGATAAATGTTTCGACATAAATGCCTTACTTACCCCAAAGAGGGTAATGATCATTCTAGAGAGTTTTTCAGACCGACCCTGCCCTTTGTAGTCCTGTATGACAGAATAAAAAAATAATAATTAAGTTTCAAAGCTAAAAAGCATTCACAAAAGGAAGATTTCTTTTTTAAGAACTAGTGTAAAGAAGACCATCTTGTAAAGATGACAGATGTGCAACATAGGAGGATATGACGGTTAATCTATTAGAGATGAAAGCGATAAGAAAAGTGAAGAGTTGAAAATATATGAGATAAAATGTTGCTCCACCGATGATCAATACCAGATAAATTCATTAGGGATTATTCATTTTAAAATATGTAAGGAAGAGCACAACGACAAATGCGGTTATGGTGCGCCACCAATCTTCAAAAATGAGGTCTAGAATTCTTACCATATGAGTTGGAATATTGGAAAAGAAATCCATTTTGATATTTATCAAATTTGACAGCCAGTAATGGAACGTTACACGATATAATGACGTAAATGTGCCACGTATATTTCGGCGTTTCTTTTCTCTGTTTACAACTACCAACCAGCAGACGTTTTGTATCTGCAAATAACGTCTCTTTCGAACCCTCGTTTCTCTGCGATTCTCGACTCTCCACCCCAAGATCGAACTCATCGATCGAGTTCAGCTCAGCTCCAAGTTCATAAAGTCCTGTCCTCGTGTGTGCATTTTACCAAGTGTTACATCAGGTTATTTGTGTTTAATAGGTTCTCTCCATCCCCAAATTGTTTGTCTCCTTGAAACATGGCGCAATTCAACGTGAATGACTTGCTCGGTCGCTTGGGCAAGACACCGAAAGGAGTAAATACTGGTATTACACTACTTGCTATGGCTGGAGCTTCTGCCTACGGAGTCAGCCAGTCAATGTTCACCGGTAAGTGTGAATGAGAGGGATTATTGTTTGAATGGCACCCTCTTTCCCATTGAAATTTAGATTGTCGTAACATCAACATTCCCCCATTACTTCTCTTGTCTCCCACTCGCTAACTTTAGTCCGAAATTACTGTACTTAAAAATTCGGACACGCTCGTACAGTATATCCATGAGAGCAAGCTACCGATTTTTTTCTTTTTACTTTTCCTTGTTGTTCAGAAAGCCATATATCTGTTATTTCTGTCTTTCATGAATGAATTAATTGCCTCACTTACCTGTCCTTTGAACTAATGAAGCATTTGCCCTTTTTTTTTCTGTTTTGAAGGTTAAGTTATACTATGTATTAATATTTGTTTGCTTTTCTGTTACAGTGGATGGTGGTCACAGAGCCATTATTTTCAGTAGATTGAGTGGTGTCCAGAAAGAGGTGTACGCTGAAGGATTACATTTTAGACTTCCTTGGTTCCAATACCCAGTCATCTACGATATCCGGTTAGGATTATGCAATCACAAAATCACAATAATGTCAGCTGTATTTCGTATTTCATAGTGTAACTTTAATTCTAGGTCTCGACCAAGGAAAATTTCCTCCCCTACTGGCTCAAAAGATTTGCAAATGGTTAACATTTCTTTAAGAGTTCTCTCAAGACCTGATGCCGCTAGCCTACCTGTTATGTATCGGCAGTTAGGTTTGGATTATGATGAGAAAGTTTTGCCTTCAATTTGTAATGAAGTACTTAAATCGGTCGTAGCCAAATTCAATGCCTCTCAGCTGATTACTCAGAGGCAGCAGGTAAGTTCTATCAGTGAAAGGTATATCAAAATTAAACCATTTTTTAAATTGCATCCTTCTTTCATACTATTTGATCTTTGCTTCAGGTTTCTTTACTTGTCAGGCGAGAACTTGTTGAGCGAGCCAAGGACTTCAACATAATTCTTGATGATGTTTCCATTACAGAACTCAGTTTTGGCAAAGAATACACAGCTGCAGTTGAATCTAAACAGGTTTGTTTCCTTCATCTGATCCTAGAATGGAGTACTTCTAAGCTAAGAAAAGTTGTTTGTAAACTTTTTATATTTTTGTCATTCAGGTTGCCCAACAAGAAGCTCAGAGAGCAGCATTTGTTGTTCAGCGTGCCATTCAGGAGAAACAACAGAAGATTGTCCAGGCTGAGGGAGAAGCTGAAGCTGCCAAATTGATATCCTTTTCTGCTTATATTTATTTGCAAAGTATTAGTCTTTGGTAGATTCAAATTATTCACTAAGTTTTTAAAAGTTGTTGTGATTGTTTATTCTTTATATTTTCCTTAACTCCTCCATACTTGGGTCAGGCTATTGGTATGAACCCAGGTTTCCTTAAGCTGCGTAAAATCCGCGCTGCACAAACTATTGCTAAAACTGTAAGACCATAGCTTTTGATGGTTTTTGATGGTTAGTCTTTGTCTCCAATTTATTCCTTAATTGAAATTTTTGTTTGTTTCTCTCCAGATGGCCAATTCTCAAAACAGGGTGTTCTTAAGTGGATCCAACCTGATGATGAACATTGGTGATCCTGCATTTGATGAGGCCAGCGAGAAGCTTCTCAAAAGTAAGAAGTAACTGTAGAAGTATATTTTAATGGCTTCTTTGATTTTCTTTTGCATGAGTTGTGTAGTGTTATTGTAATTGTAATTTTATATCTATTGTTAATTTTCACTGAAGTTAAATGGTGGGTTTTCTGGTCATTTTCATTGCACATTTTAAAATAGTGATGACTTTTGTAATGCCTGTCGTGCAGTATTTTTCTATCTAAACCTCTGTATCAAATTTATTCAAGGTGTAATTTTCTGTATTTTCTAATCTATCTTAATTTGTTTTAAAGTTGCTGCATTTATGAACCAGAGCCCCCTTGTCCTCTTGCATTTTTCTGTCGTTGAGTACATTACATAATTTTCACAAATACATTCGCAATGTGCAGGAATTTTGTACATGGTGCTCTTTACTTGCTATTAAAAGCTGTAACGTCGGTATAAGTACAATAAATAGTCCCTTGTCCAGCTTGGAGTTTTATTTTCAGTTATCATAATATTCTACACTTTATGCAGTAGTAGTTGGGGTGCTTCTCTTTAATGAATGGAATGAATCTTCAGCTCTTTGTACATTCTAATTATTTTTATACTGATAAAATCAACATATTCTGCAAAACAGACCACATGACAAGTCAAACTAGCTCATACATACAAATTGCAATATGATAGTCTCTCTTTTAAATGTGGTTTGTGGCAGTTGAAACCGAGCTGACCTACTGGTTTCGGTTACAGGCGCTACTCTCGGGGGGCGCGGGGCTACTGTAGAGGGAGTCGTGAGCCAATCTGCAGCCACAGCAGCCGAAATTTTGGTGCGACCGACTCAATAAATCTGAGATAAAAGGATCTGTCAAGTTGCAATTTGTTGAGCTACTTTGTCGGGCCATGTCAGACACACACCAAAATGACTGAAGAAAGATTTGTGAAAAAGCTTGGAATTTCTTTTGGAAATCTTTGAACTTTGCGGCTTATGAACTCTATGCATGATGTACTTCAAATTAGGAATTGATCTCTTGTTTGTGTAAACCAGTTTTTAATTTTTACCCATATGTAATGCTCTTGCATTTGTAATGTCAATAGGTATAGTAGTGTCTTATATTTTCATGTTTCTGAAAAATCTGTATCAGTCAGATTTTTGTTATGCTTGTAGAGTAGTTTGGAGTCCAAATTGAATCTAATTTTTGTTCTCCTTTCTGTTTTGCAAGCTCATGGAGGAGTATTTTCAGGTGACAGGTTGGTGAATACCAGTTAACAATTTCCTTCAAACTTTCTTGAATCCCGGAGTAATCTGACACAAACAAAATATCCTACAATTTCGATCTCCGATGAGTAAAGCGCATGCACTCAATTCAGTTGGCTACTGCCCTACCAGGGCTTCAGTACAAAACTTCTAATTTTTTGTTACAGTAGTCATCTCAACCATTTTCTATTTGGTTGTATTAGCTGTAAACCTTGTGTATGATTTTTGTTTGTACAAAGTTTATCTTTGTCAGGCGTCTTACTGAAGTTTAGCCCTAAATAATAGGGGAACTAAAAGCTAGGTATAAGCATTTGCTTCTTCATCAATAAAGGCAAGCTTAGTTACTATTTTGATCTTTTATTATACTCCTTTTATTGTGTTTAGTTACACAAAACTGTGATTAAGTTCATATCAATTTCATTCTATTTTCTCAGTATCCAATATCAGGGTATTGGCTGCCAATTTGGGTTCTGTTACAGTTTTCATGTATCCGGCTATAGAGAAAATAAGTTGCTCTATTGCAAGCTGCTGTCATAAGTAAAACACTGCCGCATGTTCATAAAATGATGTGCCCAGCACCATCGGGTGGCATAGTTTTTTCAAGGAAGTATTACTCTAAGTGAAATACATCAAGCTCACTTCCTCACCATTTTATGCTGTAGTTTGCTCCCACTTACTTTATTATTAAGTGCATTTCACTGCTTCCTACTAAAATTGCAAAGATGGTGCTAATGACATCTTGTTGCATAAAATAACAGAATTACAGAATTTGTTCAAAGACATTATCTCTTGAAGTAATTGCTACAAAACTTAAAATTATTGACTGCCAGAACACTCGTATACTAATATACACTTACATTTAGTATCACTACTCACATAGCTTAAGAATCTACACCACAGCATGCTTTAATTGTTATAATTGTTTCTCAACAGCGTTTTCCTCACACATCATAGGAATGATAGCTTGTGCCATTATGTATGGGAATTAAGCTGGCGAGCATTTAAATTCATCAGTCTTGTACCAAATGATAATGAGGCTAAAGGGTGTGCACTCAATATGTCACGTTAGTCTCAACCTTTTGTACCTTCCTAGTAAGGAAGTTTCTATTAAAATGAAAATCAGCAGGTCATATAGTATGCTTACCCATTACTTCAATCTCAATTTCAGTAAGAAATACCATTTATAATAGATAAAGAAACAAGGATAACAAAAGATATTGTTATACTCTGTGACAAATATGGCAATATAAAGGAAGCCTCTAACATTTCAACATTGTTATCAAAGTTAAACATGGATGAAAAAAAATAAAAGCTCATTCGTTGCTATAATTCCCACTCATTCTATCAGGAGGATCTCCATAAATCAAGAACTTCATTGATTACCAAGGAAATGTAAGTGAAATTTCAAAATTAAAAACTGCTCACTTTACACAGAGTGTGGTTGGCTGCTCCATTCAATTACGTCTGAAAAACTTTATCACAGATCTTTTATTTAACAAAGAATGGAAACATTCACCATATATTTTTCTCAAAACATATGATTTAAATTTGAGTCACCATTAAAAAATCTTTAAATAGAAGCAATAGTAGTTTAATTGCCTGTATATATGGGAGAAAGTCTTCCACATGGCAGTGAAATTGATAAAAATCACCTTATTGAGCTAAGGCTTTCATAACTGATGGTAACGTTTTGTGCAGACCGCAGGACACAGAGAGCATGCCTGATGTCAGTCATGCAGTCAGTGTCATTATTGTTTTAATGTGACTAAATTTAAATTATAGACTAACTCATCTACTCCAACATGTGCTGGTTCAGGGATGTTGATGATGGGGAAAGGGGGGTCCTTTACTAAGGACTCATAGTCCTCTCCAGGGCAGGGGCAAGTTGGGGGAGGGGGAGGGGGGTGACGGTGAAGCCCCGCCGTCGAACGGCTCCCCCTTCCTTGCACTCCATGCAGCCCCAGAGGGAAGTTCCGAGCGTCACTGCCCTGTGACTTTTCCATTCTCCAAGAGAGACGTCCCGTTCGTCGTGCTCGGAGAAGGTGTATTCACTTAAACACGGTCCGCGAAGCCGCCGCCACCGCCGCGGGCTGGCTCTGAAAGTCGACCCAAAGAAGTCTTTT